TAAGCCCAGGCTCAGGCCTATACGGGCTTGGTTCCGGGCCTATGATCTAGTCATTGTTTTGTTTTTCTAGTACAACTCAAAGATTAGATTTGAAATTTAAAATATTTGCAAAAAAAATACATTTTAGATTTATTAAAATATTTTTATTTTACTAAGGTGTTGGGCCATGACTGCCTGGGCCTAAGCCAGGCTTGAACACAAAAGCTAGGCCCAGCTCAGGCCGGGGCATGCATACCGAAGTTTTCCACCAGCTGATGGTCCTTCAGTCCAATTAAAACCATTAAAATGTGATGGTTTGAAGTTGGAGACGATCGTCCAAACAAGCTGCTGTTTTGGTCTAGCAGATCACCCTTTATGTTAACGAGTAAAAATACCGTCCAGCTTAAAAAGATTTTCAACCAGTTATAGTTATCTCAAATAAACTAGGTAACATTCATATTTAAAAAGTATTTTAGGGCTATTCAAAACTTGGACAGAAAAACAATGTCCAACGTTAGAGCAAAGATGGCAATTGCAACCAACAACTTCATAATTTTTATAATAGAGTAGTTGAGATCATTTTTTTTTTTTTTGTAATAGAGTAGTTGAGATCGATGTTACTTGATTAAGGGTCCATTTGGTGTGTTTTTTGGGAAGATTTTCTGGTAGTTCTGACAGTCATAAGATGCATTGAGCTTTTGCATGAAGATCTGAGTAGCCCGAAGCATGTTTGGCAGATGTGCGTCTTTCCGTGTCTTTTTACGCGAGAAGCTTCATTTGGAGCTTCTCGAAATCAGCCCAAAATGGGTTTTTTGCGTCTTTTTGGAGTTCCATTTTTTGGCGGCTAGATCTTTCATGTGTCAAACGGAAATAGACCGAAAATCGATCTTCTCGACTTATAAACAGCCGAAAAACCGCACAGAAAAACACGTCAAACGGGCCCTAAAAAAATTTAGAATATTTAAAAAATTATTAAAAGGTATTATTCCCAAGACTGCAACCGATATAACAAAAGTTTGGAGCATAAAATCCCCTCCCAAATACAAAGTATTTATGTTCTTACTACTTAACAAGAAGCTTTCAACGAAAAGAATGTTAATTTTTAGAGGGTTGGATATTGGTGGATCATGTGGTATTTGTGGGGAGGAAGTGGGCACTGATCATATATTTATCAACTGCCCCAATGCTAGACAAGTGTGGTTAACTGCTCAAAATACTCTTAAATTGCCTATTTGTTTTAATGGTTCAAATCAGAATTGGTGGAAATACCTTTGAAGTCCCAGAAATGGTCTTCTCTTAACACAGTTATCAGAGAGAAAATCGTTATTCTTTTATGGCACTTACGGAAAAATCAAGATGAAAAACAAATTCAACAATAGGAATGTGCTGTTACAGACACAGAAGCAATAGACACACTCATAGGCGAGCCTAACCAGCAGTGCGCACGGCAGCACGCACAGCAGCACGCACCGCACGACAGTAGCACTAGACAGCAGCACACACCGCACGGCAGTAGCACTAGACAGCAGCACGCACCGCACGGCAACAGCACGCACCACACGACAGCAGCACTATGAGACGCGTGCACCACCGGCAGCAGCAGTAGAGCGGGGCCCATACGACAGCTCATCAGGGTGGGTCCACACTTATCCTACCACAACAGCTCTGCTCGCCAACTCGTCGCCAGCTACATCATTCCTCATCCCTTATCCTTATCTTATCTTATCTTCTTAAGTAAGAGTTGTGTTACCATTAGGAGTTTGAGTTTGAATTGAGTTGGATTACCCAGCCTAGCCGAATCCAACAAGGAACCCCCTTTTGTAATCTCCTATTTAAGGAGATACGAGTTGAAATAAAGGCATTCAGTTTTCCAGTCAAGAGAAGAGTGAGGAGAGTTCGGGTGGTCTCTTGGACAAATCACCCATTCAGTTTCCCACAATAGGGTCTGCATGCAAGGGAAGGCGCAAGGRAAAGCAGGGCTTTCTCCCCGTGGACCGACCCGTGACGAGATCCTACGCCCGGGCCCATAACATTTTGGTATCAGAACCAAACGTCATGGGCGATATGGAGCAGCTATCATCCAAGGTCCACGAACTGGAACATAGGCTAGCAGAAACCAGCATGGAGGTTCATGAAGTCAAGGAAGATGTCCGGGAGCTGCGATGCCTGCTGGAAGCATTCCTCTCCAACAAAGAATGAAGTTCTGAGGGAATCGCCAACACAAACAGTCGTCGTCCGGACCGGGCAGAGGCATCCAGCGAACAGCAGATCGCTGCCCCGACAGCTGCAGTTATTCCCAAGTATAGCCGTTTGGAGTTTTCCTCATACAGCGGCAGCAGCGACCCACTAGGATGGCTGTACCGCTGCGAGCAATTCTTTCATAATCAGCGCACGGAGGATGAAACTGTAAAGTCTCCTCCTTTGGTCGGGGACAATGTCATGAACATTATATTGGTACCTGTAGAATGTGCTCCTTGGTCGAAGACAGGTGGACTTGGCGATGTTGCTGGGGCTTTACCAAAGGCTCTGGCTCGGCGTGGACATAGAGTTATGGTTGTGGCACCACGGTATGGTAACTATGCAGAAGTCCAAGAAACAGGAGTGTACAAGAGATATAAGGTGGATGGGCAGGATATGGAGGTAACTTTCTTTCAAGCTTATATTAATGGCATGGATTTTGTGTTCATGGACAGCCCTATGTTTCGCAATATTGAGAAAAATATATATGGGGGAGGCCGAGAGGATATTTTAAAACGCATGGTTCTCTTCTGTAAGGCTGCTCTTGAGGTTCTCTTCTGTAAGTATACCCGGTGCGTTCTTGTGATCCACAACATAGCACACCCAGGAGGTGGGGAACACTTCAATATCTTTGCAGCTGGCCTGAAAGCAGCAAATCGTGTAGTCACTGTAAGCCATGGTTACGCCTGAGAGCTTGAAACTAAAGAAGGTGGCTGGGGTCTGCATCAAATAATAAATGAGTGTGATTGGAAGCTGAAGGGCATCGTGAATGGGATTGATGCAAAAGAATGGAACCCACAGTTGGGTGTTTACCTGGCATCTGATGGCTACACCAATTACTCTGTGGAGACTCTTTAGACTAGCAAGCCTCAATGCAAAGCAGCTCTACAAAGGGAGCTTGGTCTTCCTCTTCAGGAGAATGTTCCTCTGATTGGCTTCATTGGCAGGCTTGACCAGCAGAAAGGTGTTGATCTCATTGCTGAGTCCATTCCTTGGATGGTGGACCGGGATGTGCAACTAGTCATGTTGGGCACTGGGAGACCTGACTTGGAACAACTTCTCAGACATTTTGAGAGTCAACACCATGACAAAGTCAGGGGTTGGATTGGTTTCTCTGTGGAAATGGCTCATCGAATAACTGCTGGTGCAGACATCCTACTCATGCCTTCTAGATTTGAGCCATGTGGACTGAACCAGCTTTATGCACTGAGCTACGGGATAGTTCCTGTTGTTCATGCTGTTGGTGGACTGAGAGATAGTGTGCAGCCATTTGATCCATTGGCAGAGTTCCAAGCCACGTATCCGGAATTCGAGCTTGAGGACAAGCTCGTAGTCCAAGAGGGGTGTAATGTTACAGACACAGAAGCAATAGACACACTCGTAGGCGAGCATAACCAGCAGTGCGTGCCACCACGCACAGCAGCCGCACAGCAACACGCACTGCCCGACAGCGCGCTGCACTAGACAGCAACACACACCGCATGGCAGCAGCACTGTGAGATGCGCGCACCGCCGGCAGCAGCAGTAGAACGGGGCCCACACGACAGCTCATCAGGGTGGGTCCACACTTATCCTACCACAACAGCTCTGCTCGCCAACTTGTCGCCAGATATATCATTCCTCATCCCTTATCCTTATCTTATCTTATCTTCTTAAGTAAGAGTTGTGTTACTATTAGGAGTAGGTAATTAGGAGTTTGAGTTTGAATTGAATTACCCAGCCTAGCCGAATCCAACAAGGAACCCCCTTTTGTAATCTCCTATTTAAGGAGCTATGAGTTGAAATAAAAGCATTCAGTTTTCCAGTCAAGAGAAGAGTGAGGAGAGTTCGGGTGGTCTCTTGGACAAATCACCCATTCAGTTTCCCACAATAGGGGCACGCAAGGGAAAGCACAAGGGAAAGCAGGGCTTTCTCCCCGTGGACCGACCCGTGACGAGATCCTACGCCCGGGCCCATAACATGTGCCTCTTCCCATCATTCTGGAGAGAGCACTAAACACCATTTTTTTTAAATGGAAAGAGCACTAAACACCTTTATAGAAATAAAATCCTGCTCCAATCCTAGAATTTGCAAAGAGATATGCTGGATTCCAGTCAAATGGAGGAGCCTATGTTTAGATACTATTAAAATCAACTTTAATGCTTCTTGTGTTAATTTAAAGGCTTATAGTATAGACTCTACTACGATCAATTTAGCGGAAAGTATGAGCTGTTTGGGAAGCCCAAAGTATAGCTCTCAACTTCAACAGGTGATTCCAAGCTCATTAAAAATCGAGTAGAACCCTGTGGAGATTGAAGACGATCATTGAAGATTGCAAGCAATTACTCGTGAAAATAGATAGAGAGGTGGAGTCTCATCATATCTTTAGAGAAGCAAATAAAGTCGTGGATTGGCTAGCTAATTGTGCTCATTCATCCTCTATAAATGTAGAAAACCTTGTGAAAGATTTATTATTAATTTTTGGATTTTTGGGGAAATGCTACCCCCGTTACTCTGTAGCGGTGTAGCCCCTCATCTCGAGTTATCAGAAGAAAAAAAAAAGAAAATTTAGCAGTAGTTTGGCCATTCAAAATTTAATTAAAAGAACATTATTTACAATGTCATTAAATTTGAAATTAACACATGCAACCAACAATCGTATAAATTACTTGTTTGAGTGTTGGTGTGGAGTGTGGTGATGGTGTGAAGATGTGATGACAAGAAAAATAAAACAGTAAACTGGAAATAGCAACTGGTGATTATAGTTTCAGAAATTTCGGTAAGAAACAATTCAAAAGCAAAAATGAACAAAATGAGATTCTCTTCTGTCTTGTTAAACAATTGCAGCCAGGAAAATAACAATCATATGCATCTTTGCAATATGTAGTACCACTACCTACTCAGGAAATTGATTAGTTTCCAAGATATTTTTCCAAAATCCCAACAAATCACGGCCTAATAGTTGGCCAAAACAAAATTTAACAATTAAGCAATTAGTTTCATTATAAAAGAGATATTACCATCTAATTAAAGCTAAGATAAGCTAAGACTTGTATAATTACCAAAGGAATCATTCGCATCGCATCTGGTACCAACCACCATGAAAGTACAACTCTAAACTCTAACAAAAATAGGTCACAGCTACAGGGGCGAATGATCAAGCGATCAAAACCGGGTACAGAGCCTAGTGTTCTCTTCAGCCAGACAGCAACTCCATTTGGTTAGTAGTTGCTTAAAGGTTAAAGCCATTTCCTTTGAACTCAAAATCACTAATTACGTGTATCAACTCCATTTTCCGTTGGCCCTCCTGCATGGCTGCCCTTCACATAAAGTGGAATCCTTGTGCCTAATTCCCTCAGCCGATTTACCATATCATATAGAAACTCAAAGGTAAGCCTGGATTGTGCATTGAGGTCCTCTCTCACCTGCGGATGAATCCTGAACCAGTCTCCTAACATCTTGTGAACATGTGAACGGATTATTCTCCATGGAACAGGGTAGCTCTCACAGAGTTTCAAATACTCCACCAATAGATCTGCTTGGTCTAGTTTGCCATCTATATTGCTTTCCTCATCAGCCTCCACCCACTCAGCAGTCCGAAATCCAGCAAAGAGAGCTGGATTCTCAAGAAGAGACTCTGCTGAAAGCACACCATCAGCACCTGTCTCCTCCAAACATCTGTGAACATCATCCATGTGGCGTATGTTCCCATTGGCCAGGACTGGAATCTTGACTGCACCTTTTACCGCTTTGATGGCATTCCAATCAGCTCGGAACTTCTTTCCATCTTTTTCATCTCTAGTTCGTCCATGGACAGCCAAGAGAGAACAACCAGCATCCTCTAGCATTCTGGCATATGTTATGGTATCTTGTAAATTTGAGAAAATCCTGATTTTGCAAGACACAGGAACATGGAGGTTGTCTGCCAACTTCTGCACTAGAGATTTTATAAGAGGGAGATTGTCCATTAAGAAAGCTCCATAGTTCCCTCGCCTTGCAATACGCTGTGGACACCTGCACATTAATGAAAATCTGTAAATTGAAGCCATTAACTCTTTACCTCAATGTTGATACATCTTACACCAATTAAAAAAAATAGAAAATCTGTAATCTTAAACATTACCTACAAAAATTCCTTTGGAGTTAATCAGCATATGATAATATGTATAAGATAATAAGTTACAAAATCTGGAGACGGAACAACAAACTTCCACATGATGCATGAAAAAACACATTACCCTTCCTCCATTTTCCCTCTTTTTCCATAGCCAACAGCTAACTCAATCACAGTTTCACCAAGGAGATCCCTACACACTCAAACAACAAAAACTAGGTCTTCCTACCTACTGAAGAACACAAGGAAACCATATACCCAGGTGAGCATTTAGAACCTCTGAAAACCATTAGACTTCTTGGAAGCTCTATCTCTCTCCTTTTTCCTTTTCTTTTCTTTTTTGATGAGTAAGAAGTTATATCTCATTTCTGCAATGTTTTTTTTTCTTCTTTCAATGTATTATGGCTTTCCTTTGCCAATGTTTAATGCCATAATAACATGATTGTTAACAGCTGTTATTTTTTCCTATGTATAGTACCGCAGGGGTACTATTGTACTTTTGCTCCTTTTTATTTTAGTTGCTGTGACCCTAGTATATATATTAAAAAGCTACGCCACCAGCAGTAATCTTTTTTCTCTCAGTTCTCTCTTCTTCTCTCTCTTTTCTCTCTTCTTTCATTCTTCTCTTCTGCATAACATGGTATCAGAGCAGGACTACCAGATCTGAAAGGAGAAGTCGAGCAAACAGTCTTTTTTCTTCTTTGCACCAGATTTCCAGATCTGCCGCCCTCATCTGCTGTTAGGCTGATTGAAGATCTCACATTGAAGTAACCTTTCTCTCTCTCTCTTACCTTTTTTCTAGTCGTGTGCCAGGGCAGAACCTGTACTAGGTCTGCCGATTGGATGTGAGGTGATCAGCACCTCTTTCTTTCATTTTTTGTGGGGTAGACTGATCCCTGTGAAACTGTAGGTTGTGAGGACCTTTTTTTGTGTTGCAACAGCAGCTTTTATGGTGAACTGTGGGTCAGAAAGTGACCAGTACCTCTTGTGTGCTGCAACAGCAGCTTTTATGGTAAACTGAACGTCAGAAAGTGACCAGTACTTGCTGTAACAGTAGTCCTGTTGATGCGTATGTCAAGAGATGACCTGTATGCACTGTGGCAACACTTGTGTTGAACTTGTAAGTCAAGGGATGACCTGTTAGTGCTGTAACAGCACCTGTAACAACACTTTAAG